CCTTTTTTATTTTTTGAGTTGGAGTCTCACTCTGTTGCCCAGACTGGAGTGCAGTGGCATGCTTACTACCGCAGCCTCGACCTGCCGGGCTCAGGTGATCTTTCCACCTCAGCCTTCCAAGTAGCTGGAACTAGAGGCATGCGCCACCACACCTGGCTAATTTTTTAATTTATTGTAGAGACAAGGGCTCACCAAGTTGCCCGGGCTGGTCTCGAACCCATGGACTCAGGCAATCCTCTCACCTCAGCCTCCCAAAGTGCTGAGATTATAGGCATGAGCCACTGTGCCCGGCCAGTTTCCATTTTTTATACATAAATTTTATCTCATGCTTCACAGTCAATATGTCTTTAGTTTGGTGCTTTTTTATTTCCTAACCCCCCTATATCCACGTACCAGTTGATTCCAGTATCATTCTCTTCCCAGTACTTGTCTACCTCCAATTTCACCTCTCTGGCCCTCCTGCCAGATATTTTTTTGGCAGCATTCTCTATCTTTAGTCATACTTCAGTAAACAGTAGAGGATTCCAGAGGATCTTTGGATTAAACTATGCGTCACCATCCAGGTGAAACAACCCATTTGCATTTACCCACATTGTATGTCAAAGCGGTCCATTCCCAAAGTGCTAACATCCCAACTTACTGTCAGGGAGCTGAACTTCTCTATACCGAACCAGTTGACTTGGAAGGAGAGGCTTGGTATGAGCATGTTCAATAAGGGTATCTTCAACCATCTGCATAACTCCTAGTGCAGCCTGGGGAAAAAGACATAACCCAGCACATTACAAAAACATAAACAGATCTCATTTGTGAAAATAGAAACAGTATACTGGATGGTAATCCGTTGCAATACGAAAACAACATGCTTGCAAAATAAACTAGCTCCATTTGTCATAAAGATGAATTTTAAAATCTTAAAGACATTTGCTCCTATTCAAATGGACAAAAACAGAATGTCAGTATAGTCACTCTGCAATATAGTCAATATGGTAGCAATAAAGAGAAGCAGAGACCAAATCGTCAGCGCTGATGTTGAAAAAAAGGCACTGCAGAGCTGGAGAAGTACTAGTGATAGAAAGTCAGTCCCAAGTGAAATGACCCTGATCACAGACACCTGGCATCATGGCAAAGCAAAGGAGGTGCGCCTAAAGTGTTACTGCAGGGAAACTGACCTAAGTTAGAATCCTGTCTCTGCCACTTAGAACATCCAACTTTGGGCATACAGTTATGCTGGCAGAAGAGCAAAGTGGCAGAGATGGAGGGATCCTGAGGCCGACTGCCATGGGAATCCTGCAGTGCTTTCCATGTGCCGAGCATGTGGCATGTACTGTTTAATCCTTATAACCCAGGGTGCAGGTGCTACCATAACGAATTTTTTTTTTTTTGAGTCAGAGTCTCACTCTGGAGGGCACCCAGGCTGGAGGGCAGTGGCACATTCACAACCACTGCAGCCTCAACTTGCTGGGCTCAGGTGATCCTTCCGCCTTAGCCTTCCAAGTAGCTGGAACCACAGACACACACCACCATGCCCGGCTAATTTTTCTTGATTTATTGTAGAGACGAGGTCTCACCAAGTTGCCCAGGCCTCGACCTCCCAAGGCTTGAGCCACTGCACCCGGCCTACAATAACAAATTCTATAGATAAGAGTACTGAGGACAGAGTGAGACATTTTCAGAAGATGCCATAGCTAGCATATGGCAGAAATAGAAGTTGAATGCAGGCTGATTCCACAGCTTAGGCTCTTATCCATGACACAGTCCTGCCTCCCTACATCAAGTGGTGATAAGTACTCCCACTTCCTCCTGTGACGGCACAAGGCAGGCAACAGTAGAGGAGGCAGCCATGAAAGCTGGTCCTCAGTGAAGCGCCATTACTCTAACGTCTCCTGTGACCTCGCCTACTTTCCAGAGAGAAGAGAAGGCTGAGTCAACTGCAACGTGCTGGTTAGTCATCTTGAGACAGAGGAAAATCATCTTCTGCACTGATCCACAAAAGTTGCCAGAACCTCGGCCACCCACCTGCTTTGTAATGTTTCCGTGGAGAAGGGCTTCAATGTGCAGCCGCGACAGGAGCTGAGGTATGAAGGCCTTAAGGCGAGGAAGGGTGACATCTGTAAAGGTAGGAGAATTAGTGAGCTTTACCCAGGGGTTTTTAAAAAACAGCTCTGTATTTGAGATAAACTGAGACTTTCAGAAGACTTGCAAAAAATGGCAAAAGAGAGATCCTGTAAGCCCTTCATCCAGTTTTCCCTAATGCTAGCATTTCTTGTAACCATAATACATTTGAGATTAAACAAATAAACTAAGTATTTAGCATTGGTACAATACTATTAACTAAAGTACAGACTTTATTTGGATTTTAGTTTTTCCATTAATGTCCTTTTAATGTTCTGGGATCGAATTCACAATCCCCCACTGCATCTAGCTGACATACCTCTTTTTTTTTTTTTTTTGAGTTGGAGTCTCACTCTGTCACCCAGACTGGAGGGCAGTGGCCGCTCCCGGCCACTGCAGCCTCGGCCTGCTGGGCTCCAGCGATCCTTCCGCCGGAATTACAGGCATGCGCCACCACACCTGGCTGATTTTTTTATTTATTGTAGAGATGAGGTCTTGCTGCCCAGGCAGGTCTCGAACCCGCGGGCTCAGGCAATTCACTCACCTGACATACCTCTTTTAATGTCTGACAGTTCCGTGGTCTTTCCTTGTCTTTTATGACCTTGGGAGTTATTATTTTTTGAGTTAGGGTCTTACTCTGCTGCCCAGGTTGGAGTGCAGTGGTACCATCACAGCTCACCGCAGCCTCAACCTCCTGGCGTCAGATGATCCCTCTGCCTCAGCCTCCTGAGTACTTGGGACTATAGGTGTGCTGCCCTGTCCAAATAATTTTGTTTTGGGGGATGGAGATGAGGGCTCCCCATGTTGCCCAGGCGAGTCTCGAACTCCGGGGCTAAGCGATTCTCCTGCCTGGGCCTCCCACAGTGCTGGGATGACAGGGGCGTGCCACTGCACCCAGCTCTCTTGTGACCTTAAGAGTTTTGAAGAGCACTGCTTGGTTATAGGATGGTCCTCATCTGGATCTGTCTAGTGCCTTCTCATGATTAAGCTGCACTCACGCACTACTAGGAAGAACACCACAAAGGTGATGTGTTCTCAGCGCATCACGTCAGGGGGTGCATGAAACTGCAATGTTGTACTGCTAGTGATGTTAACACTGATCACTTGGTTAAGGTGGTCTCTGCCAGATGTCCTCATTGTAAATGTGCTATTTTATTCTTTTGGTTGTAATCAAGTAACTCACACAAGCTCTGCACGTCATTCGAAAAGTCCACCTCCCCATCAAAGCCTGTTTTTCCCCGTGTGATGAATAAATATTTACTTTGAGATTAAACAAATATCCTGTTTTCCCTTAAATTCTGCCCACTAATTTTAGCGTCTACTGGTGGATACTGCCTATAGCAATTATGACTACGGTGTTCTAATGGCAATCTTTCTGGTACTCTCATTCCTTTTACATGCATTGATTTAGTTTTTCTGCAAGAAAGAGTTGTCCGTTCTTCACTAGGACACCACAGTAATAACTGCCACAAGCAAGGTCTACCAACAGATGTTAAAATTAGTGACTGAATTTTAAGGAGAAATGTGGGAAAGGAATTAACAAGTGCTTACCACTGATCAGGTATTTTACAGATACTGTCTTTCACACTTATAGGTATGTACTACTATTCTCGTTTTAAAGGTTGGAAAACCGAGGTTAGGAAAATTCAAGTCCAAAGTCACCAAGCGAGAGCTGGGATGTGAGCCTCGGTTAACTCCCAAGGGATGTTCATCCCACTCCACTGTGTCACCCTAGGAGTCCCCTTCTCTAGACTCCCTCAGCACTCCGAAGCTTCCACCACAATACTTACTCTCTTGTCTCTACTGAAATGATTTATTCAACTTTATGCTTTACCATAGACTGCAGCTCTCTGATAAAAGAAATTCCATCTAGTTGATTGGTGGATTATTTTATTTTGTTTTTGAGACAGAGTCTTGCTCTATTAAGGCTAGAGGACAATGACACAAGCATAGCTCACTGCAGCCTCAAGCTCAAGCCATCCTCCTGCCTCAGCCTCCTGTATCGCTAGGACTACAGGTGTGCGTCATTATACCCAACTAATTTTTATTTTCTATTTTTGTAGAGAGGATCTCGTTGCATTGCCCAGGTTGGTCTTGAACTCTTGGCCTCAAGTGATCCTCCTGCTTCAGCCTCCCAAAGTGCTGGAGTTTACAAGAGTTAGCCACCATATATGGCCTAATTGGCTGTTTTTTCAGCCTCAAGCACGGGTAGTCCTAGGCTGGGTGCATGGCAGGCAGGTAGTAAGCGCTGCTGGAATACACTGCGCTCAGAGGTTCCTGCTATCCTGGCACCTGGACAGCTGAATGATTCAGAGTCATGGGCGAGCCAGCCTCTCCCAGAGCTATCTCTAGATTGAGCCAAGCTGACATTTTGGACTATTGTGGGAGTATATATTCATGTATCAAAACAGCATGATTATTTACTAGAGCAGAGAATTGGAACCAATTTATAAAACACATTTGGAAAGACTTCACATGCCTCTGAGATACTTTAGAGCTTACTTCACTTAAAATTCCCATGTCACCTGACCCAGATTCTAACAAAGGGAAAAAAACCTCAAACCTTTGCTTCTTGATTATGAAAACAGGTTTCTGAAAACATATTTAAAATTATGTGGTATTTTTACATAAGCGGACCTTGAACAATTATAATAAGAAAGGGATTGGCAATAGTGGGAAATAGTCAGGGGAGGGGGGGTGGGATTGGCAGTTGAGGGAAACTGCTAGGGGAGGGAGGGGCACACCTCATCAGCAAGGGTACCTGCATAATCAATGTTTGTATACCTAACCCTGAATTGTACCCCACATCTTTATAATAAAAAAAAATTATGTGGTATTTTTAAATGTATAATTCTTGCTATGACCACAACAATTTTGCAAAGAAAGTATATTAACTGTCCTGATAAAAGAAAGCATCTGCTCTAGTTAATGAATTTTATAATATAGCCTCCTCCTCAGTGCCTGAGGCAACCAACAAAATAATAACTTTCAACACTGCTTTTGATATGCCACTGAAGACATCAAAAGCACAGTGTTACGTAAGTATAAGAACTTGTCATAAAAGATGATTAAACATTCAAAAGAGCTCTTTTTTAAAATGGCATTTTATTGCTGAGCATTTAGGAAGAAAGATTAATTGGTAAAGTAATACTGGGAAGTAGAAACCAATAATAAAGAGTACTGGTTCGGGCGTGGTGGCTGAGGCCTAATCCTAGCACTTTGGGAGGTCAAGGCGAGAGGATTGCCTGAGCCCGCGGGTTCGAGACCAGCATGGGCAACTTGGCAAGACCTAATCTCTACAATAAATCAAAAAATTAGCCAGGCGTGGTGGCGCATGCCTGTAATTCCAGCTACTTGGAAGGCTGAGGCGGAAGGATCGCCTGAGTCCCACAGGTTGAGGCTGTAGTGGCTAGGAACGTGCCACTGCACTCCAGCCTGGGCAACAGAATGAGACTTCTGCTCTCCCAGCACTTTGGGACGCTGAGATGAGAGGACTGCCTGGGCCTGCAGGTTTGAGACCAGTCTGGGCAACATAGTGCGACCTTGTCTCAACAATAAATCACAAAATTAGCCGGGCATGGTAGCGCACACCCAGAGTTCTGGCTACTGGGAAGCCGGAGCCCAGCAGGTCAACTCAAGCCTGGGTGACAGTAAGACTCTGACTCAAAAAAAAAAGGTGCTACAAATCCTCATTTTTTTTCCAGTACCAGCAACACTGAAAGTCACTTTCACCTATTCAATAGGTGCTCATCAGACACACACAGAGGGCATAATATCACACCAGACACTAAATAAAGGAGATAAAAGGAAGGCTCTCAAGGAATTTCAGATTTCAAGCAAAATTTCTGAAACTAGATTTAAGACCTTAGGGGAAAAACAACAACAACAACAGCAGCAGCAGAGCATTCAGTCATCTGCAGAAATTATGAACAGTAATGATTAACTGTGGTGGGGCCACGCTGAAAACAGTAAATGTGGCTAAACTGCCTAAATACAAAAGCCATTTCGAAGGCCACTGCTATTCTTGTTTTTTTTTAATTTTATCATTGTTTGAGCTGGAGTCTCACTCTGTCGCCCAGGTTGGAGTGCAGTGGCACGCTCACACCACCGCAGCCTCAACCTGCTAGGCTCAGGCGATCCTTCCACCCAGCCTTGAGAGGCTGGAACTACAGGCATGCGCCACCGTGCCCAGCTAATTTTTTTGATTTATCGTAGAGATGAGGTCTTGCCAAGTTCCCCAGGCTGGTCTCAAACCCTTGGCTCAGGCAGTCCTCTCACCTCCACCTCCCAAAGTGCTGGGATTACAGGTGTGAGCCATCATGCCTGGCAGGAATCTTATTTTTTTAAAAATTGACAAACACGGTGAGGCTCAGTGGCTCATGCCTGTAGTCCAAGCACTTGGGAGGCCGAGGTGGGAGTACTGCTTGAACCCAGGCATTCGAGATCAGCCTGGGCAACACAGCAAGACCTTGTTTCTACAAAAATAAAAAAATTAGCTGGGTATAGTGGTGTGCACCTGTAGTCCCAGCTACTTGGGAGGCTAAGGCCAGGAGGCTGAGGTTGCAGCGAGCCGTAATGGTGCCACTGTACTCAAGCTTGGGCGAGAGTGATACCCCAAACCAAAAACCACACAAGCAAACAAAAATAATGTATAGTGATCAGAAGAGGGTAACCAGCACATCTGCTATCTCAAACGTGTATCATTTCTTTGCATTGGGAATGTTTAACATCATTCTAGCTATTTGAAACTATGTATTATTGCTAACTAAAATCATCCTACCCACCAGTTTTAATAAAAAAATATGCACAGCTGGATTTACTAGAACGGCACATTATTTGAAAGTATAAATACTTGCTAACAGGATCCACCAACATGATTTTAAGGAAAAATGAAGACCGCATTAGGCTTGAAGTAGAAAAAGCCTCACCATCCAGGGCTTCTTTCAGCTCATGCTTGGTCCAGGCCACTTCTGTCATCAGCAGGCGGAGATAGTACATGGCGTGCTGGTGCGGCTGCTCCGCCCGGAAGTTGTTCAGAGATCGCATGTACTAGTGAGGGAGAGACGTGGGTTCGTTAATCTTACAAATCTTTTAAAAATCATTATAAAAATCATCTCAAAGACCCGCTATAACCAAACCCCATTCTGTAGAAATTCTGTGGGATGCAGGAAGATGTATTCCTTTCTCCCTTCTGAAGTTGTATAACTATGCATGGCGCCTGTTCCTCTCTGACCCTAGACTAAAGGGCATGCGTTTTCCTTGTCCACATTGCTGCCTAACTCCCAGCTCCGACATAGACTCTGGGTGCCTTCACTACAGGACATCTTGCATTCCTCAGAAAGTTGCCCCCTGTTTTCAGGGGATGTCTCTTGGCACCTCTAGCTTCTACATGATAAAGCCATCCCCAAGTCTCTATAAGCAAGCAACATGGATAGGTATACATATAAGATTATCTGATTTTGATTTGAAGCCTGATAGTAGTGTATCAAGGTGGTCATTTATCATACATCCATTACTGGGCCAAATGTGAGTTGAATTTAACTGGGAGATATATCAAACCTAAACAGCAAGCCCTCGTGTGACAAGGTTCTTATGGTAGGGCAGACCTCTGCTGAACTGTGTGTTCTGCTGAACTTGAGGTTGGGATGAAACGTTTGAGGAGGCCCTGACAGCTACTAGGTGCTTCGCTTTGGAAGTCAGAGCTGCAACTGCACTAGCACTTAGAGCCCACAGAGAGAGCCACGTGTCCACCAGCATCTATGCGGCTTGCTTTCTGGGTAAAATACAGGATTTAGCAAAGACAGGGTAAGATGAATGCAATGGATCATGAATGCTTCTTTTCCTCCTCTCTCCTTGTCCAAAAATTCTCATAAAATAGTTATATTATCTCATAAATTAAAAAAAATAAGTTACAAACATGAGTTCAGAAAACTTACTGCTTCTTTGATAATTTCAAATCTTTTTTCATCAATCTCAAAGGTAGCCATTTTCTCAATAATCTTCTTTAGCAAAATTGGCTGCTTGTCATTGTAACCTTTCACCGAAAGCTACAGAAAGAATTCAGGGTATTAAAAGTCTAAAAATATAATGAAACAATTTCCAAATACGCAACTTAAGCTTGATTTTTAAACATTTAGAAAATCTCAAAGCCAGTATATTAAAATAAAAATGAAACAAAAATTTCAATTAATTTAACTTCTCATAAATATAATTTAATACTTAGGGAGATAATATTAACCATCTTTGTTCTAAAAAATTATTTATTTATTTTTTAGAGATGGGCTCTTGCTATGTTGCTCAGGCTGGACTCAAATTTCTGGGCTTGGGTGATCCTCCCATTTCAGCCTCCCAGGCAGCTAGGACTATAAATGCAAGCCACAACACCTGGTCATTAGCCATCTTTATAATAAGTCATACTCAAAAGCATAATTTTACTTTTCCTAAACCAAATCAATAGTAGGTAAAGTCACCTGACACCACACCATAGTGCTGTAGATTATATAATCAAAATTCAAGTTCTCATATCAAAATTGATAATAAAATGTAGTTAATTTTTTTTGGTCAAAAAGAATTTCTGCCTGGCGCAGTGGCTCACACCTGTAATCCCAGAAATTTAGGAGATGGAGGTGACAGAATTGCGAGCCTAGGCAACTTGGTAAGACCTCATCTCTACAATAAATTTAAAAAAAAAAATTAGCCAGGTGTAGTGGCGTGCGCCTGTAGTTTCATCTACTTGGAAGGTTGGGGTGGAAGGATCATCTGAGCCCAGCAGGTCGAGGCACCGGTGGCCATGAGAGTGCCACTGCACTGCAGCCTGGGCAGCAGAGTGAGACTTTGACTCAAAAAAAAAAAAAGCATTTCTAGCAGATGGTAGGCTTAAGGTTCTTATAAGTGTAGTCAGAAGGCAAAAAAATCACAGAGGAAGTTGGATGTGGAGGTACAAACCTGCAGTACCTGCTATTTGTAGGGGGCTGAGGCAAGGAGATTGCATGAGCCCAGGAGTTCAAGGTCAGCCTAGGCAACATAGCAAGACCTTGTCTCTTAAAAAAGAAAAAAAAATCACAGAGGAGTGTTATCCAGCAATCTGTTACACATGTCCCCAAATTATTTATACTTAAGTATTTACAAAATCATCTTTGGAGAAACCAGGCAGCCCCGATTTTGTATGATATGGCATCTTGCCACTTTGTCATTCAGTGTTGCCTAATCAAGAGTCACAATCATAACCACTTGCTTACTTGATGCGTTCTGCTGATGTCCCCAAAGCCAATGGCTGAACGAACACATGTGCAGAAAGGACACACAGCATGTATCACCAGGATTCTGCTATAGGGCAGTTTCCTGTGTCTCTGAATGCCTAACACTTTGAAAAGCAGGGAATGGGAAATTCCTATTGTTCTAGTTGCACATGGGGGCACCCCAAGTAGCACAGGAGTTACTGCAACTAGACAGCTAAAATGCCCTGGACAGTCTTGCCATGTGAGGAAGAATGGCCAGGGCCTTGGCAGGAGGAAAGGTCACTGGGTATGAAAAGCACATTGTCTCCTGTAGGAATTAGACTCAAAAGGAGTAGAAAACCCATTTTGTCATCAATAAAAATTACTTGTTTTAATGATAATATGGCTACTAAAAATCAACAGCAAAAAGTAAAAAGGTAAGTACATTATTACTTTTCTATCTGGAGTTAATTTCTATCTAATTTCTGTGGACTCTGAGAATGGTTAGATTACATGCATTCTTATACATTTAACAAAAACTACTAGATAATTTATTTTTTATTTCTATTTTTGAGTTGGAGTCTCACTCTGTCACCCAGGCTGCAGTGCAGTGGCATGATCACCTGGGCTCAAGCAATCCCCCATCTCAGCCTTCTTAGTAGCTGGGTCTATAGGTGTACACCATCATGCCCGGCTAATTTTTTATAGAGACGGGTCTCACTATGCTGCCCAAGTCTTGAACTCCTGGGCTCAAACAATCCTCCTGCCTCAGCCTCCCAAAGTGCTGGGATTACAGGCATGAGCCACCATGCACAGCCAAGAGTTTATGTGAAGGAAAAAAGTCACTGTGAAATAAATATATTTTAAAATCCTAAACTCTTTTGTGTAAAAATTTAAATAAGTCCCCAGAAATGATCTCATTTTTATTTTTACTAAAATATACAATATATTTTCAAGAAAAGTCAAGTTGGATGTGCACCATAAAAGGCATGTTAATTTGGAACTGAGATGTAAGGCAGCTTGGAAACATATCAGAAACACTTTTGAGACAAAAGTATCTAGTTATTTTTTGGATGCATTTAGTGAGGTTTATTTTAAAACACATAAAATAGCTAATGGTGCATGCTATAAAATAAGTTAAACTATTACTTTTGAGATAGGGTCTCACCCTGTCACTCAGGCTAGAGTGCGGTGAAACAATCAAGGCTCACCACAGCCTCGACCTCCTGGGCTCAGACAATTCTTCCACCTCCATCTCCAGAGTAGCTGGGACTACAGGCCCGTACCACACCTGACTAACTTTTTGATTTCTTGTAGAGACAAGGACTCTCTATGTTGCCTAGGCTGGCCTTGAACTCCTGGGTTCAAGTGATCCTCCTACCTTGATCTCCCAAAGTGCTGGAATTATAGGCATAAGCCACCACACCTGGCCATTAAAATAAGTTAAATTAAAATGTCGGGTGTATTTGAACATGGGAACATTCTGCTACTATATGCAGAAATAAAGAAGGGCTATATATAAGTAAAATTCAAGCACCACTATAGTAACTATAGATATCTTTCACTTACAGACGTTAATATACTCAAATATATGGAAAGAACAACATGCTTTCAGGATTAACATATTAAACATCTCAAGCAAAAAAAGCATGCAAATGCTCACAAGAGGCACTATGCCTTACTAAATCATTCATTAGTGGAACTAATACTTATTTGAGTTCTTCAATCATTCGAAGGGTGTAAGGAAAAAAACCATCAACCCTCTTGCTTAAAAATGCAGAAGTTAATAGTTTGTCCAAGCTCAACATAATGCTTCAATGGTGTGGTGCCTTTTCTTTGGTTTGCATTTTACTTACAAGTATTGCATTCATTCCTGATGCAATGCCATAGCTCAAACCTGAGAGGCGTGCTGCATATGTATACTCTTTTAAATCATCCTTCAATAACCTGATAAACAGGTATGTCATGTTGCAATGGAGAGGATCAGCATAAATGTAGCGACTAACAAAAAGAAAAACAAAAGAAATGCTTTGATACCTCAAGCAGTGATGTGGCAATGGAGAAACATGACCGAAGAGTATGAATATGCAGCCTCACGACTAGGATTTCTAGGGGAATGGCACGGGGTCAACCTGAGGTTTTACCACAAGCAGAAAGACCTCATTCTCTTTTGCCAAAGACCAAGATTTCAAATACAGAATGGGTGAGATCAAAACTGAACAGGGGTCCGATTTTGTTGAAGTAGAAAAACACGAAAATCTGGTGAAAGATGTTAAATTAAAAAAAAAAACAACAAATCAAGGAAAATTTGCGCATTATGAATGGTAGGTAGCTGAATACTTAGAATAAAAGCTAACTGAAAAATTAAATGATGAGGAAATATGATTAGCCGTAGAGATTTTTTCAAAAAAAGAAATGGAACTCATACCCTCAATCGAAAACGCTTCCATCAAATCAAAGTAAAAAATGTTGATGAGTGGAAGGCTCTAAGGTGTGGGTACTTACATACATCCCATAGATGGTATTTTGGAGATCATAGCTCAAGTCTGCTAGCTCTGCTGCATATGCATACTCGTTGAGGGAGTCTTTGAGGAGCTCAAGGTACAAATAGGCCATGTTACAGTGCAAGGGGTCCACATAAGCAAATGGGCTGGAAGAAAACGTCAACAGTAAAAGAGCTGATTTATGACTTCTCAAGGTGAGGTGGCCTTTTGAGATGGATCCAGATACGGAATATCGCGTCGTATAATGTCCTGAGGATATGGTTGGAATCTTCTTAGGAGGAAAAAGTAAGATGTCTGAAAGAGAAGCCTGAAATATGCCATGTGTGTGTGCTGGTGGCAGTGAGGAGGGAGGGGCCGCTTACCCAGATGAAGAGGCAGAACTGACAACTCAGAAAGGCAGGGAGTGGGAATGGGCCAAAACCAAGCCTACGCTCAAGGCCAACAGGAGGCTGCAATGACTCTCTCCAATGACATCACAGCCTTGGTGGACAGGAGTAAGAGGTAGGGGATTTGTCTGTGGCAATTCTAGGAACTTACAAAAACTGATACCCATGAAAATGTGAGCTTTTCCTTCAGTTTTCCCCAAAACCAATAAAGAGCACTGTCAGCAAAATAATTGATAATTTCTATCATGTAACTGCAGGCAGAACTAGGGAAAAATATTAAAATAGGAGAATACTTATTTATTTATCTATTTAGATATTTTAGTTGGAGTCTCACTCTGTCGCCCAGGCTGGAGTGCAGTAGCACACTGATCACAGCCACTGCAGCCTTGACCTGCTGGGCTCAGGCGATCCTTCCACCTCAGCCTTCCAAGTAACTGGAACTACAGGCACGAGCCACCATGCCCGGCTACTGTTTTGATTTGTTGCAGAGATGAGGTCTCGTCAAGTTGCTCAGGCTAGTCTCGAACCTGTGGGCTCAGGCCATCCTCTCACCTGGGCCTCCCAAAGTGCTGGGATTATAGGCGTGAGCCACCTCGCCTGGCCTAGGAGAATATTTAAATAAGAAAGAGCAACAAAAGAAACAATGATAGAGTGCCACTGCTAAACAGGACTGCAGAGGCAGAATGATTTTTCATTTCCCAGATAAGAAACAAGGTTCCTCATGTTGCCTGAGCTGGTAAAGGCCAAGTTGGGGTTCAAGTTGCTTGACTGTGGGACCTTACTTACCTTTGCCAGAAGCAAGTAAGAGTCATTCATTTAACACATGTCCGGGTGCTACTACATGCGGACTATAGTGCCCGGGTGCTTCTCTAGACACCGGAAATAATGAGGGGACACCAGGCAAACTCCCTGACCTCACAGAGCTTACAGTCCAGGTAGGGCAGACAAATGTCAAATTTAAACCTGAGGTCTCAGTTGGTGATAGTGCTATGAGAAAAATTAAGCAGGGTAAAGGGAATTGGAATGCTAGCATGGCAGCAGTAGGGAAGGAAGATTGCTACTTCACATAAGATGGTCTACCAAGGCCATTGTTATAACGTGATATAGGAACCCAGGCTTGAAGCAAGCCAGGGAGCAAGCCCTGGGGCCATCTAAGGGGTGGAGTGGAGAACTTTCCTAGCTGAAAAAATAGTGAGTGCTGAAGACCTGAGGCAGGTGCCCGCTTGGCTTGTTTGGCAGCAAATACTCAGAAGCACAGTAAACATAACCCATGATCTAATAACAAAGTCAATAATTTTATCAAAGCCAGTGGTAATAAAGCAAAAATAGGGGTAAAACGCTTAGTCACTTAGAGAATTTAAATCAAAGAGCAAGTTTTACAGCTATCCAAATATTCTTCAACTGGAAATCCTAAATGAAGACTCTGCCATTGGATTTTTTTTTTTTTGAGTTGGAGTCTCACTGTGCCACCCAGGCTGGAGTGCAGTGGCATGCTCACGGCCACCGGAGCCTTGACCTGCTGGGCTCAGGCGAACCTTCTGCCTCAGCCTTCCAAGGAGCTGGAACTACAGGCATGCACTACCACACCCAGCTAGTTTTCTTTTGGATTTATTATAGAGACGAGGTCTCACCATGTTGCCCAGGACTGGTATCGAACCTGTGGACTCAGGCAATCCTCTTGCCTCAGCATCCCAAAGTACTGGGATTCTAGGCTTGAGCCACTGCGCCTGGCCTGTCGTTGGATTTTTCCAAGTATTATACATGATGACAGATTTCCTTCTTTAGGCAAACAGCAGCTCAGAACTTGAGGCACAAGTCATAAAAACAAAATCATCTCAAAAAAAGAGGCTATGGACGGAGCTCAGCCCTATGGACAAGTATGTACCAGATAGAGGTGAGCTGAAGATACACTGAGAAATTTTCACAATAGTAGTATTATTCATACATTGTTCCTGAACATCTTCCTTTTTATTTATTTATCTTATTTTTAATTTTATTAGAGTTGGAGTCTCACTCTGTTGCCCAGGCTGGAGTGCAGTGGCACGCTCATGGCCAGTGAATCCTCAACCTGCTGGGCTCCTGCAATCCTTCTGTCACAGCCTTCCAAGTAGCTGAAACCACAGGCGTGCACAATCACATCTGGCTATTTTTTTTTTTAATTTATTGTAGAGATGAGGTCTCGCCATGCTGCTCAGGATGGTCTTGAACTCCTGAGCTCAAGTAATCCTCTAGCCTCTGCCTCCCAACGTGCTGGGATTACAGGTGTGAGCCACTACACCTGGTTTCCTTTTTATTAAATAATTTTTAAGTAACCAATACGTAAGGGCTCCAGACAATTAAATGACAGGCCAGGACTCCAGATCACTTAGTAACTACCACCTCTTCTTCTGGGCAACTTCCAGGAATACAAAACCAAAACAAACAAAAACCGAAATTATTTATTTTTTCCTCAATGAATGTTCTAGGTAAATCGATAACCTTCCCAGAACCCAAGATAAAGGTTAATTAGGGTCAGCCCTCCTAATAACAGCTAGCATAAATCATTTCAGTTAAAGGCTATACTCATCAAAGAAAAAGAAAAATAATTAATAATCTTGGTTCTTATTTTGAGTTTGGGTCTTATTCTGTCCCCCAGGCTAGAGAGCAGTGGCATGATCATGGCTCACCGCAGCCTTGATCTCCTGGGTTCAGGCAAACCTTCCATCTCAACCTCCTGAGTAGCTGGGGCTACAAACACTTACCATGACACCTGGCTAATTTTTTGTAGAGAAGAGATCTTGCTATGTCACTTAGGCTGGTCTTGAACACCTGGGCTCAAGCAATCATCTCACCCACCTTGGCCTTCCAAAGTGCTGGGATTAACTTTGGTTCTTAAAATACTTCTTGGCGGGCTCAGTGGCTCAGCCTATAATCCCAGCACTTTGGGAGGCTGAGGTAAGTGGATTGCCTGAGCCCGCAGGTTCATGACCTGCCTGGTCAACTTGACGAGACCTCATCTCTACAATAAATCAAAAATTAGCCGGGTGTGGTAACGTGCGTCTATAGTTCCAGCTACTGGGAAGGCTGAGGTGGAGGGATCACTGAAGCCCAGCAGAAGGTTCACCACTGCACTCCAGTCTGAGTGACAGATTAAGACTCTAACTCAAAACAAAAAACAAAAAACAAAAAACCTCTTAAAGAGCAGCAGCCTTATCTAGGTGAAATAACACTAATTCTTTTTATTTCTAGACACAGATGCTTAAAAAGGACAGACAACTTCTAGAAATGTAATTGCTGATTCTAATAAGGTTTATAGCTAGATTCATTTTACATACCTGAAAAATTCAAAGTTGAGACAAGCCTTCGGCAAGAAAAACTTATCATCTTGTTTGAACCAGAGTTTGCTCATAGCTGTATCCTGTGATGGAGAGACAATCTGGTTAGGGAAATAGAGGCCCTCAGCAAAAATGTTCAATCAAACCACTCTTCAAGAGGAGGAGGACAGAGGCAATAGTTGAGAGTTTTGCTCTGGTGGCTGCTGTCTTATGCCTTGAAGCACATTCAGAGGGTCAGTAGGTAGGAAGGTGACTCCTGTAGCAGAGATAAATCAGCCTTGTATGTCCACTGGATTAGGGAGATGGGGGCACCGTGGGGGAAGAGACAGACTGGAGAAGCCAATCCCAGCTGCCCTGACCCCATCCTTCAGGACACTGGAAGGCAGACAGACGCAGGAGTCCTTGGGAGGGTGTGGCAGCAAGCCTCCAAGGAGGCCTCCGATGATCCCCTGCCTGCTAGTCTTGTGTAGTTCCTTTCCCACACTGAACCAACGCTGAGCTGCTGGACTAACTAAATATGTCAGAAGTGATGGCTACATTGCAGAAGATGGTGTGGCTTCCATCTTGATCACCGACTCCCTCTTGGGTCACTCACTGTGGGAGAAGCCGGCTGCCATGTCAAGCAACTCTATGGAGAGGTGCATGTGGTAAAAAGTTAAGGCCTGCAATGTACTTCGAAGAGAATCCTCTGGCCCTGGTTAAACCTTCAGATGACTGAAGTCCTGGCCACAGCTTGACTATAACCTCATGAGAAACCTTGACCCAGAACTACCCACCGATGTCAGTGCTGAATTCCTGATCCTCCTCAGAAACTGTGTGCAATAATAAATGTTTGCGGCTTTAAACTGCTAAATTTTAGAGTAATGTGATATGCAGCAATGGATAACTAACATAGCCAAGGATAAACAAATAAGTCACTATCTTGACTCTCCACTTCACTCATGCTATACTAAGAATGGCCTTAGATGCTCACTTGAAACAACCTTGGATCTCTGACAAGTGATATACTGGTTTAATGTTCTCCTTAGTTTACTCTGAGAAGGTCTAGTTAAAATAAACAATAAAAAAACAGGAAAGCTTTCTCTTTCTTTTTAAGCATGAAAATGTCATGCTTAAAGAAAAATAATTCTCTCATTAATAATCTATCTTATACAATAACCTAGTTTAATTAAATTTCATCAAATTCATCTGAAGCCTAGGTCATTTAAAGATAAAAAGAGGCTGGGCTTGGTGGCTCAGCCTGTAATCCCAGCACTTTGGAAGGTCGAGGCTAGTGGATTGCCTGAGCCCGCGAGTTCAACACCAGCCTGGGCAACTTGGCGAGACCTCGTCTCTACAATAAATCAAAAATTAGCCAGGTGAGGTAGCGCACGCCTGTAGTTCCGGCTACTAGGAAGGCTGAGGTGGAAGGATCGCCTGCACCCAGCAGGTCGAGGCTGCAGTGGCTGGGAGCGTGCCACCGCACTCCAGGCTGGGCGACAGAGTGAGACTCCCACTCAAAAAAAAAAAAAGATAAAAAGAAAGATGTATGTCTATAATCATGAATTTAGAATGAGTTAGTTTGCACGTTTAGAAAGGAGCATGTGCCATAATAATTTGATCCACCTATCTACACACTTTATCTAAGGTCTAAGATAATGGCATAAAAAGACCACTGAGCCAGGTGCGGTGTCTCATGCCTGTAATGCACGCACTTTGGAAGCTGGAGCCAAAGAGGATGGCCTGAATCCAGAGGTTCGAAACCAGTGTGGACAATCTCTACAATAAATCAAAAACTTAGCTAGGCATGGTGGCGCACATCAGCCGCCCGAGCTACTTGAAACGCTGAGATGGAAGGATTGCCTGAGCCCAGCGGGCCAAGGCTGCGGTGGCCATGAGGGTGCCACTGCACTCCAGCCTGCGTGACATTGAGAACTCTGACTCAAAAAGAGAAAAAAAAAAAATCTGAGAAAGGGGGAAAACATCCCACTTTTCAACAACCCTTCCCATTCGTTAACAACTCCATGACTTCATATAATTCTTGTGTCATAATGAGAATTGTTTTTAAGGGCAGGAGATCCAATGGCTCCCCTTAGACATGCTCTCTTCCAGGCTCCAGAGATCTCTGCCTAAAGATCTCTAATGTTCATGACTCAGTATAAACCTGCTTCCCTCTTGGTCTTCAGTAGATATGGGGAAGAGGCCACTACCCTCCCAGACCTGTGATTACAGCCCGGACTTATTTTTCTTCTCTGCAAAGAAAGCAATTTCCCAGAGTCTATGTTGTCTAGTAGTTTTGCTGGTTTGCTTGCTTTACTATTTTCCACTTTATAATATTTCTTGTAGTTATGCTTTCTGTACCTTTTTGGGTCAACTCTTAGGATGTGAGCCCTCCACAAGAACACAGAACCAAATATAGTAAATCATCTCTCTAGCCCCCCATGTAAAACATCTGGACCCTCAAATTTAAAATCGCTGACTCTAACAGTTTACCTTAATAAGAGCAGGGTATGGAGTCGCATCTTTTTCCAATGTCAAAATCTCAAAATTTGTAGGAATAAATTCATTCTTTGTTGGAAGCTTAAATTTCCCATTCAGGTCAGCATTCTGCCATTTCTGGATGTATAATGAAAGCACACACACAAACAGGAAGGGTCAGATTCAAGAGTTTGAAACAATGTCTTTGCTCGATTTCCAAATATTAAAAGGACAAATGTCACACAGCATCATTTTCCATCACATATAAAGGGGCTACTGCCAAGATCCATGGATGGGTTTTCATGAAGCTTCAGCTAGTCTTTCTGACACTCATATTTTACACTCATCTATCTTTCCTTTTCATAGCTCCCAAACGACCAGTAGAGGTCAAGGAACAATCTGTGGCTGCTGAACAGAGGAGCTGACCGATTCCTAAGATCACATTTGCTCTAGCTCTTTAAAGAATGGAGAACAGGCTGGGCTCGGTGGCTCAGCATGTAACCCCAGCACTTTGGGAGGCTGAGGCGAGTAGACTGCCTGAGCCCTTGGGACCAGCCCGTGCAACCTGGCGAGACTTTATCTCTACAATAAATCAACAATTCAATGGGAGTGGTAGTGTGCGCCTGTTGTTCTGACTACTTGGAAGGCTCAGGGAGAAGGATCACTGGCCCCCAGCAAGTCAACGCTGGGGTGGCCAGGAGTGTGCCAATGCACTCCAGCTTGGGCGACTGAGTGAGACTCCAACTCAAAAATAAAATAAAACCGAGCTCGGTGGCTCAGCCTGTAATCCCGCACCTTGGGAGGCTGAGGTGAGTGGATTGCCTGAGCCCGTGGGTTCGAGACTCGCCTGGGCAACTTGGCGAGACCTCATCTCTACAATAAATCAAAAAACATTAGCCGGGCGTGATAGCGCGTGCCTGTAGTTCCAGATACTTGGAAGGCTGAGGTGGAAGGATCGCTGGAGCCCAGCAGGTCAAGGCTGCAGTGGCTGGGAGTGGCCACTGCACTCCAGTCTGGGCGACAGAGTGAGACTCCAACTCAAAAAAAAAAAAAAAAAAAAAAGATTTTCTGGTATCTTCTTATGAATAAAGGACCCAATTACAAAGGCACGTAGCCAATGAGAACCCAAAGATAAGAAAGAAAAAGTGCTAGGTGAGTACACAGGAGTCACAAGTAAAGTTGTGACTACTGATGAGTAGGGTAAAATACTGGCTTATATCTGTTTTGAAGTAATTCTGAATTCCCCTAACACTGACAAAAAGAGCAGTGATACAATAGGAGGCATAAAATACAGTACCTCCTAAAACAAAGACAGTAAGAATCCCAGAGACAGCTCCAGCCTCTTCTTCCCTTTCATGTGCTTGCTTCCCTGGGTACCCTGAAACTCAATCCTCTTAGACTGCCTGATACACCATGCTGGTGGTTTGACAGACACCCGAGAAAGTGACTAGAGTGTCAGGTCTTCTTGCAAAAAGCCAAATTCCATCTCTCTAGCTTCTTGCTAAAGTCTCTTAAGATGGCAGAGACAACACTAGGTCATCAGTCTCTATACTCTGAGCCCTGAGTGGGTGGATCTAGGGAGCACACATTTTTGTGACCTCTCATACATCAGGCTTATTCACAATATCAAGCTTATCCATAGAGTTCACTCTACCTTGATGACTTCATCTGAGATGGCTTCTTGTTTGTACTGGGTTCCATACCACTCTTCTGTGCGATCAGTTTTTCCTTCAAAAGATTTGGAAACTATGGCAACCCTAGAGAAAGAATGGGAAAAAAAAAACCCAGAAAAAAACCTGTAAATTCATGTTGTATATATTCATTTACAGAATCTGACTCATGAAGATGTAACTAATATCCACAAATGTGTTGGGCCTCTTAAGACTCAGCAAATCCTGTGAGGCCAAATAAGCAGTATGTATACAGAGGTTTCTGATCACAGGTCCTGTTATCCTTTAGCTATTGTCCATTATTTTTAGTGTAAAAAAAAAATGCTTACAGAGAGAATCTTCTAGGTATGCTACTGACTAAAATTTAAAAGGAAGACTAGCTAGGGAAAATGGAACAAGGTCAGTTGAAAAAGAGTCCTGGCCAGGCTCGGTGGCTAGGCCTGTAATTCCAGCACTTTGGGAGGCCGAGGTGAGTGGATTGCCTGAGCCTGTGGTTCGAGACTCGCCTGGGCAACTTGGCGAGACCTCATCTCTACAATAAATCAAAACATTAGCCGGGCGTGGTAGCGCTTGCCTGTAGTTCCAGCTACTTGGAAGGCCGAGGTGGAAGGATCACCAGAGCCCAGCAAGTCGAGGCTGCGGTGGCCGGGAGCGGCCACTGCATTCCAGTCTAGGTGACAGAGTGAGACTCCAATTCCAAAAAAAAGAAAAACAGTCCTTAAAAAAGCAAACAATGAGTCCTTCCTAGGAATAGCTCAGGCCCAGATTTAAAAGGAATGATAGGAATCCAGAGATGGTCAGTTCATCCAGAGACCAAAACACCACAAACGTTCCCAACGAACTTTCATTATTAGTTGATAAGCTTGTGTTCTATGTTATTTTCCTGCCAGAGACTAGCATCAAATATGTCACCACATGTACACTGGCCTTCCTGCTTCTAGGAGAGAAGGGGACGAGACCAAGAAATGTCTATCATCTGGTTTATTAAAAGTTTTCTTTGGCCGGGCGTTGTGGCTCATGCCTATAATCCCAGCATTTTGGGAAGCTGAGGTAAGAGGATTGAGGGGTTCGAGACGAGCCTAGGCAACTTGGCAAGACCTCATCTCTACAAAAAAAAGAAAATACATGCCTATAGTTCCAGTTACTTGGAAGGCTGAGGTGGATGAATCACCTGAGCCCAGCAGGTCAAGGCTGTGGTGGCCATGAGCGTGTCAATACACTCCTGCCAGGGTCTAAGACTGGACTAAGACTCCGACTCAGAAAAAAAAAAAAAAGCTTTCTTTGATGGGACAGTAGAAACAGCCCAGAAAAGAAGATGAGGGGAAAAAAAGTTTAGAAAGGAAGATAGCAGTAAATAATGTCAAAAGAGAAAATGAACACAAGATTACAAGAGCTGGGGAGCGAAGAATGTCTATACCAGCAGAACTTTGCAAGTTGCACCTGTGGAGTGCCTTCAGGGACATCTCTGTCTCTGCTGCCTTCTAATTACCTAAGTGGAATCATTACACCCTATCAGGAGGCTCCACCACAAGCTGGAAACAATCCTGTTTTGAATCCTGTGGGTTGAGGAATTCTAACCAATTAGCTAGGGTGACTTGCTGACAGGTGAGTTCTGTTATTGGCTCCACTTCTCTCTTTTCTTTTCTTTTTTTGAGTTGGAGTCTCACTCTGTCATCCAGGCTGGAGTGCAGTGGCACACTCATGACCACCGCAGCCTCGACCTGCTGGGCTCAGGTGTTCCTTCCCCTCAGCCTTCCAAGTAGCTGGAACTATAGACACACACCACCACACCTGGCTAATTTTTTGATTTACTGTAGAGACGAGGTCTCACCAAGTTGCCCAGCCTGGTTTCAAACCCGCGAGCTCAGGTAATCCTCTCGCCTTGGCCTCCCAAAGTGCTGGGATTACAGGCTGAGCCACCGTGCCCGGCCATATGATGCTTCTTAAGGGCATTCAGTACATGACAGAGCCTAACTGGACTTGGCCTAAGGAATTACTTTGACTTTTGTTGATTTCTCAGAGAATGAATCGACTGATTCTCAAGGAGACGTCTGAAAAATACAATAAGAAGTAGAAGAATCGGTAGAGAGGTGGTATTCCCATCTTCTCTTCCATGAGAGGCGTGATTTTGAAGGTTCATTACATAAATGGCTTTGGTTTCCCTGGAGTGATAGCCCAGGCATCAGAATAATGGGCAGAGGGCTGATTACAGCTTGCAAAGACCGAAGCATTCATTTGGCAGCGGATTTACTCTCTGAAACAAGAAAACTTTGAACTCAGTTCTGAGAGAGAAAGTAAAGAAGTTCAGGGAAAGCTGCCAAGCCAGACACTCTGGCGGACAGCTACATGACACAGGAAGAAGCAGGCACTGAGGGCTGTGTGGCAATGCTTAGGTTTAAACAAGGGGAGAGAAGGAAGATTTGCCAAGCATAATCCTTAGGGATTTAGATAGTTATATACCAAAGTAAAGTGGATGGGTAACATTTGAAATGTCATTGCAAGAAAGGAGCAAAACAGTTCCTTAAACCAGGCAGACAGATGGGCGTGGTGGCTCATGCCTGTAATTCCAGCACTTTGGGAGGCGGAGGATTGCCTGAGCCCATGGGTTCGAGACTAGCCTGGGTAGCTTGGTGAGATCTCGTCTCTACAATAAATAAAAAAATTAGCTGGGCATGGTGGGACATGCCTGTAGTTCCAGCTACTTGGAAGGCTGAAGTGGAAGGATCGTCTGAGTGCAGCAGGTTGAGGGAGCAGTGGCAGTGAGCATGCCACTGCACTCCAGCCTGGGCAACAGAGTGAGACTCCCACTCAAAAACAAAAATAAAACAAAAAACTAGGCACATATCATATACTGGACTAACAAAAAGAGGCATCTTTGCAGACTAAGAGTTAGTAGTACACCATTAAGAAATACAAAATGGAAATATGTAATAGAAAGATACGGGGTTTTTTGTTTTTGCGTCAGAGTCTCACTCCGTCACCCAGGCTGGAGTGCATTGGCATGCTCACAGTCACCGCAGCCTTGACCTGCTGGGTTCAGATGATACTTTCGCCTCAGCCTCCTGAGTAGCTGGGACTACAGGCACGTGCCACCAGGTCTGGCTAATTTTTTTTATTTACTGTAGAAATGAAGTCTCACTAAGTTGTCCAGGCTGGTCTCAACCTCCTGGGCTCAAGCAATCCTCTTGCCTTCTCCTCCCCAAAATGCTAAAATTACAGGCATGAGCCACTGTGCCTAGTCAGTTTCTTCTCAAATGGTTGGGGGGGGGGGTCATAGGAGAAAAAGGCTATCGATATGGCTCTGATGTGATCCTCAGAAACTTGAGAGTGGGCCAAGCATGGTGACTCACACCTGTAACCTCAGTGCTTTGGGAGGCCGAGGCCGAGACCGAGACCAAGGCCAAGGCCAGAGGACTGCTTAAGCCAGGAGTTCAAGTCCAGCCTGGGCAATATAGAACGACCCTGTCTCTACAAAAATAAAATAATTAGCTGAGTTTGGTGGCATGTACCTGTAGTCTCAGCTACTCAGGAGGCTGAGATGGAAGGATCACTTGAACACAGGAGGGCAAAGTTACAGTGACCCATGATGGTGCCATGGTACCCCAGCCCGGGTGACTAAAACCAAAAAAAAAAAAAAAAAAAAGGAAAACAAGACAAATGACCTTTTCTTTTTACACTAAAACTTATACTAGTGGGAAAAAAGAAACAGTGGGCTAGAACAAATGCTGACTGTTGACTTCAAGTCAGCACATTTAAAAATGTTGAGAGAATGTAGTTTAGAGAAGCTGGACGGTACCTATTTGGGAAAAAAGGTCTCCCGACTACATATATTAAAAGAAATTATGGTTCCCAATGAATTCTCATAAGACTTTTGCAAGTAATCTCTGAGAGAGGAAAAGGTGAAAACAACCAAAGAATAAGTAAAGGCTTCATAGGTAATTGTGATGAGTTCAACAGAATTAGTAAGGGCACCAGCCTAGCAATCAGAAACTTGGATTCTGCTGGAAACTCTGACTCACTGTCTTGAAATCTTGCCAAAATCACAGCCAAGACTTAAATTAGGCAAGTCATTTAGCTTCTCTGGACTTCAGTTTCATTAATTTTTTTTTTTTTTTTTTTTTTTGG